AAAGTATAGCACATGTGCGAGACCACTTTTGCGGTATTTAACAACAATTTTTACACGAGTTTCTTGTGCTTTTTAAATTTTAAGGTTTGGGTTTATCTCATTGACGATTTTTGCAAAACATGTTCTTGAAATATCTGTATGAAACCTCACGCAGCCTTGGGACAACCCTTGTATTTTATGCCTGAAATTTACGATAGTTTATATTTTCTGATGCTCTTGTGTACCTGTTGAATTTGTTATTCTTTCACCTGCCTCTGCACCATTTCATTTACGGTTTTGAGCCTGGAAAGGGAATTTGTCAGATGATCCGTGCAAAAACCAGAATATGCTTCCTTTCAACAGGTCTTCTTTCGAGAAACTTGACAGACGCCAAAGGCACTGGCAAAATTGGCGAGGATGGAAAGCCAGTTGCCGGGAAAATTGATCAGCCCCTGGGCATTATCGGTTGCATGTCCTTCACGACCAAAATGTTGTTGGACGTGGCTGCCATCGGTGGGCAGTTGACAGTCATTTTTGCGTGGCCTTTTGTGTTGGAGCCGAATTTGGGGAATTGGAAAATTTGGCTGATTCCCGTCTCGGTGCTGCTCACTTCCTGTGGCTGGTGGGAGAATTACTCGGATTACAATTCACACATTCGTGAGTATATATGACATCAGTTAGTTGTCCGAGTCTTGTTATTCCTTACGAAAATAATTTCGAAGTACGGTACTGTGTATTTTTTTGGCTTTTCTTGAACTCGGAGTTTGCTTTTCCACGTAATCGAGTTGCGGAGTTTTCTCGAGATTTTCAAAAATAGCGCGACGCATCTAAATGACAGTGCAGTTGAACCTCGATAACTGGAACCTCACCGAGTCAAATTGTTTTCAAGTCCCTGTCTGAATTCCGTTAGAAACGATCCAAGTAAAAACCCACGCGTAACTCGAAGGCTTTCCTCCTCAAATCTCCATAACTCAAGATTCATGGAGGCTTTTTATTTTATAGAAAAGCTTTAAAAATAATGACGAATTGTTTTGAGAGGAAGTGAAAAACTAATTGGGCAAATAAACCCTTGCCTCAATCAGGGTCAAGATTCACAAATTCGGACCAGATTTCGTTGTACTCAGCTTCAGTGGCTTGTTTGCGAATAACATTTCTTTGTAGAAACAATATTTTTGAGATCATTCAATCCTCGTTCCTTTTTTTGCTTTCAGCCTTCATGAAGATTTTGGGGAAAGCGAAAAATGATTTGATCGGAGCCCGGTACCCAACTTACGGTATCATTTCAATCTGGAAGATCGCGTTGTTCTTGGCAGC